TGTTGGGGTGGGGGAATGGGAAACGAAAAGAGCATGAAGTTAGGTGGGAAGGGAAGACTTGGGGGAGAGGAAACATGATCCAAAAATAGTGTAAGAAGAACTTTTGTTACTTTTCTTTGACTGAAGATACTCTTTATACAATGTACTTTGATATAGTTCTCCTCCCCTGCCCCTCCCAGTTCTTTCCCTCCTTTTATCCAGATCCATAACCTTCTGTCTCTCAGAAAACAGCCATCTAAAGAATAATAATAAAATACAGTAGGATAAATCAAAAACAGAGACACCTGTGTTGGCGCACACAGAAATCATCAAAACCCAAACCAGAAGCCATAGTAGTATACACAGAGGATCTGTGGGCAAACAACAAAAAGCCCCGACTCGAAACCTCCAGGGCTGCCCTTGAGTTCATTTTCTATTCCATCTACTCTATGAGGCCTACCCTTAAGACGGGTTTTCCCTTTGAGAAAACTGACTTTTCATTTACAAGCAGCTATGAATTGGAGCTAGCTTCTGGGTTAGATTTGGGGCGCTGTGTCCCCTTCTCCTTTCAGCTCTAGAACCCTATCTGGTGCAGAACTATGCAGGCCCTGTGCATGCTACCGCAGTCTGTGAGTTCATGTGTGTGCCAGTCCTGCTGTGTCTAGAAGGTCTTGATTTCTTTATACCCCCCCCATTCCCTCTGGCTCTTACACTCTTTCTGCCTCCTCTTCCTCAGTTCCCTGAGTTCTGAGGGCAGGGATTTGATGGAGACAGCTCATTTAGGGCTAAGAGTTCCAAAGTCTCTCTCAATGCCTAATGTCTGGCTGTGTGACTCCGTATCTGTTCCTGTCTGCTGCAGGAGGAAGCTTCTCTGATGGTGACTGAGCAAAGCACAGATTAGGAAGAGTTGGGGGAGGGGAAAACATGATCAAAATATATTTAAAATATTTAAGTAAAAATAGTGTCTTGTGTTTTGTGAGTAAAGACAAAAGGAAACTAGGTGTTTAGACCACTAGCTGGAATGCAAAGAAGCAAGCGTATTGTTAGGAAAGTCATGGCAAGAGACGGGCTTGTGCGAACTTAAGAGTGACCACCCCTGAAGAGGCCATCCAGTTTCTGTGTCTCCTTGGCTCTCTGCTTGCCTTCTGTAGCTCCTGAAGACCACAGCTATAGCTTCTTTTGGCAGATAACATGTAGCTGCTCTGTGGTTCTTTGGAGGCAACAGCAGGCCTTTACTTTAAATTTTTTCTTAATAAAATAGATCCTTTGTGTTCTGTATTTCGATTACCAAGTCTGTTTTTCATGGTTCCTTTCTGTCGTCACTTCCTTCCTTTCACCAGTGAACAAGTATCTATTGTGTGCGTGAGAGTTCCTGGAAAGAACAGTACCTTCCACCACACCTTCTGCAAGCCTGTTAGTTGATGAAGCTTCAGTGATGGTGGAGAGGTTGGAACACTGCAGGTGCAGAGCCTAATAACAGTTTATGTCGGGCTTGTTTTAGCTCCCTAAACAGCCCTTCCTTGTCCATCTCTGTGTCTGACCTCACATCCTGTGTCTAGCAAGTGAAACATTTTGGAATGTATTAACTTGAGTGACTACTAGTTTTGATCATCCAGAAGGCTAAGAATGTTCTCAGCTGGCATCTGAGGCCTAGAGAAGGAGTTTCCCCATTTTGTTGTAAGCTGTCTCTCTGATGGTCCTCTGGTGTATTTGAGAGCATTTGATTGAAGGTTTTTTTTCTTCTGTTACTATGAGAACTTCACAAAAATGTACCGTGTTGAAAAATGGAGTTTGGGGTAACTTGAATCTGTGACTCCTCCTGGTCATGACACTCATATTTAGCTCCAGAAGAAGGATCTCTTACCTATTTTGAGGTGAGAGCTGTGTTTTGACAGTAAAGTATCATTCTGTGCTAGGAATTGCATTGACCTCTAGGAGTATAATGGGAAAAAACAAAACCCAAGAAGAACTGAATCACCCCCACTTGGTCTTCCTTTTTTATGAGCTTCATGTGGCCTGTGAGTTGCATCTTGGGCATTTCAAGGTTCTGGGCTAATATCCAATAATCAGTGAGTGAATACCATGTGTGTTCTTTTGTGATTGGCTTACTTCACTCAGGATGATAATTTCTAGTTCCATCCATTTACCTAGGAACCTCTCGAATTCATTGTTTTTAATAGCTGAGTAATATTCCATTGTGTAAATATACCACATTTTTTGAATCCATTCCTCAGTTGAAGGACATCTGGGTTCTTTCCAGCTCCTGGCTATTATAAATAAGGCTGCTATGAACATAGTGGAGCATATGTCCTTGTTATATGTTCGAGCATCTTCTGGGTATATGCCTAGGAGTGGTATAGCTGGATCCTCAGGTAATGCTATGTCCAATTTTCTGAGGAACCGCCACACTGATTTCCAAAGTGGTTGCACCATCTTGCAGTCCCACCAACAATGGAGGAGTGTTCCTCTTTCTCCACACCCTTGCCAGCATCTACTATCACCTGAGTTCTTAATCTTAGCCATTCTGACTGGTGTGAGATGGAATCTCAGGGTTGTTTTGATTTGCATTTCCCTGATGACTAAGGACACTGAACATTTCTTTAGGTGCTTCTCGGCCATTCGAGTTTCTTCCATTGAAAATTCTTTGTTAAGCTCTATACCCCATTTTTTAATAGGGTAATTTGGTTGTCCGGAGTCTACTTTCTTGAGTTCTTTGTATATATTGGATATTAGCCCTCTATCAGATGTAGGATTGGTAAAGATCTTTTCCCAATTTGTTGGTTGTCGTTTTGTCCTATTGACAGTGTCCTTTGCCTTACAGAAACTTTGCAATTTTATGAAGTCCCATTTGTCAATTCTTGATCTTAGAGCATATGCCATTGCTGTTCTGTCAGGAACTTTTCCCCTGTGCCCAAGTATTCGAGGGTCTTCCCCACCTTCTCTTCTATTAGTTTCAGTGTATCTGGTTTTATGTGGAGGTCCTTTATCCACTTAGACTTGAGCTTTGTACAAGGAGATAAGAATGGATCAATTTTCATTCTTCTACATGTTGTCCTCCAGTTGAACCAGCACCATTAAATACTCAAGGGAGCAAATATGGAGACAAAGTGAGGGACAGAAACTGAAGGAGGGGCCATTTGAAGACCTTTCCACCTGAGTATCCATCCCATGTGCAGTCACCAAAGGTAGATGCTGATGTGGAAGTCAGGAAGTGCATGCCGATAAGGGCCTGATATGGATGTCTCCTCAGAGGCCTTCAAGAGTCTGACATATTCAGAGGCAGATGCTCACAACTAGCCATTGAACTGATCATGAGGTTCTCAATGGAGGAGTTAGAGTGAGGACTGAAGGAGCTGAAAGAGTCTGTGGCACCATGAGGAGAGCAACAATACCAACCAACCACAGCTCCCAGGGTCCTAACCACCAGCCTGGGAGCACTTATGGAGGGATCCAGGGCTTCAGCTGAATATGTAAGAGTGGAGGGCCCTGCCGGGCACAGGTGGAAGATGAGATCCTTGACCTCATGAAGGCTGGACGCCCCAGGGGGTGGGAATTTTGAGGGTGGGGAAGTGGGAGTGGGGGGGGTAGGTGGGGGTTACATCCACGGAGAAGAAGGAGGAGGGGTAAGGGGATGGGGGGTTCCCGGGTGGGTGGGGGATGGGGTAAGGGGATAACATATGAAATGTAAATAAAATATCCAATTAAAAAACAAAAACAAAAAAAAACAAAACCCAAAAACCCCATGTCTCTGATGTCTCATTGTATTCCAGTTGAGACAGAGGGTAAAATACAAGCATGCATTTGGCCGCCATTGGAGAAATAGGTATGCTAGGTAGCTGGGGGCAGCTTATGAGGGGCCTGTAGACCCCCGATGTTCTAGTTTTCTTCCCAGTCGCTATGATAAAATACTCCATTACCCCAATAAAAGCAGCCTAGGGGAGAAGGGGCTTATTTAGCTCAGTTTCAGGTACAGGCCATTGTAGAGGGGTCATGTTGAGGGTGGGTCTTCCCACCTCAATTAACTTAAAAGAAAATACCACACAGACATATTCCCACCAACCTAAGCTAGACTGTCACTGCACTCTTCCCAGGTGATTCTAGACTGTCATCACATCCACAATAAAGCTAGCCATCCCACATCCTTAGGGGTGTTAACGTTTGCTCTGCATGATAGAAGCCTGTGGGTTTACAACAGGAGGGCATAAAATATGTTGATTTTATCAAGACCTTGAAGATAGTCCAGCACTGGGAGTGCTGTGTAAAAGTGGTCCCTGTGTGGAGGTTAGAGCTTTGAAAATCCTTCCTTCCAGGGCTGCTTAGGTAGAACACCTGGCATCTGCTAGAGCACACTTGACAACAGTACAAGTTATACTGAATAGCTGCTTACTGAATTTACTTAATTTGTTCATCTAATGCTGTCAAAGGAAGTATGCATTAACATATATTATTTACATATTTACTTTATTATCACTTTCATTAATAAAAATATATTCCTGTGTTTGGGGAGGAAGATTTATACTAAAGGAAGCTTCTTTAAAACAATTTTTAGAAAACTAATTCTTTGGGGAAAGCTGAAAATGAGAAAAGAGATGTAGAACTCATGCTGTACAAGGAGTGATTGACAGATTGATGGTGGATTATTTGTGAAGTCAAGGCCAAGAGAGCCGAGGAGCCAGGGTGCCAGAAGCAGTGATTTAGATGAGCGGTAGATTATGAGGGCGGGAAAACTGGGGACAGAGATTGAAACAGATTTTCAGTGAGTACAAGGCTGATGCTTGTCGGGAGTGGTTATAGGGCTGCAAGATACAGCAGTGAGGTGCTTCTCCAGTGAGAGGACATGGAGTTGGGACTCCTTGGGAACCTGTTGTTTTTGTCTCCAGCTTATTTCCTCCCACAAATTTATTTCGTTAACTGTTTCGTGCAGCATTGACTAGTCTGTCACAGCAAGCATGTAGTCACATGTAGTCACATGTTACATGTAGGCCAGTATGGCTTTAAACATGAAACCCTTTCTTTTTCAGGGATATTATGATAACACACTTTGAGCCTTCCATCTCCTTTGAGGGACTTTGCAGTGAGGTTCGAGATATGTGTTCTTTTGACAATGAGCAGCCGTTCACCATGAAATGGATAGACGAGGAAGGTGAGTGGCTGGGCAGGGTGGGAGCTGGGCGGGGTGTTCCTAAGCTGTGCTTTAAGATAAATCAAGATTCCTAGGAAATTCAAGGGAAGGGTTAAGCAGATTTTTAACTGAACGTATATATGATTATAAGGTGCAGTATGATGCTTTTTTGTTGTTGTTGTTGTGTGTGTGTGTTTTTAATGTATATGGGTGTTTTGCTTACATGTATCTCTACGCACCATATGTATACAGTGTCTGAGCAGGCTAGAAGAAGGTTTGGGTCCCATGGAACTGAAGTTACAGTTTTTAGCCACTAAGTGGTTAATGAAAATAGAACCCAAGTCCTCCAGGAATGGGGCTGTTTCTGACAAACCTGGCCTGGTTTTTTGAAGAATTGTAGAAGACTTTGGGATTTTGAACTAGAAAAGTTACACTTGAATGCTGTAAGCAGGGTTAAATAGGCCATCCTAGTAGGAGCTTGGAAGACAGTAGTGCTGACATCAGTGTGGACTGTGTAGGCCCAGCTCAAAATGTTCCAGAGGGAAGCAATATTAACAACAGGGCTAGACTATTCCTATGACTATTTTGGCAAAGAATGTGGCTTCTTCTGTAGTTCTAAGAATTTGCCTGAGGCTAACTTGAAAAGAAAACTTGGAGGATGAGATTTCAGGAAGATCTAATTAATATCATGTGATTATTAGTAACCACTCTTGTACAGGTCTCTAGTGAAAAAGACCAACTGGGAAAAACAAGAGAAATACAAAACTACAAGTTGAAGAGAAAAACGGGAGGCAATGTAATGTTGGGGTCAAGGCTTGTGCTGAAAGAGGGGAGTGGATTTAGAAGAGGCCTTATCTGCCCTGGGGCAAGGGGATCAGAGCAAGACCCCACCCAACTAAGCTTTCTACTGAAAAGAGAGACCTGAGGAACGTTCTGCTTTTCAAAAGCTACAAGAAAGGAATGTTTCTGTGAATATGATTCAAGGAGGGGACCAGGCCCCAAATGGACACCTGAACTTCCCTGTTGTCCTTGTGGTTCTAGGTTTAGAGTAATGAAAATACCTGAGGAAAGGTGTTATGGAATCTTCTCCATGGTTAAAGAGAACCACTGAGGGAGGACACCCTAGCAGGGGTGTTCCTTCATGGAAGCCACAAGAAGCCAGTGTATGAAGTTCTGAGAGCAGCTGGGTTGTTAGAGACCCCTCAATGTTAGATATGCCAGAGCCGTGGGATGTCTGCTAAGGAGATATGCACACAGGGAGTGGAACCAGCCCAAGATTATCTAGCAGGCAACAAAGCTAGAAGGAAGACCATTCAAGGCTTGCAGTTTGTCCTGCTGTATTTTGGTCTAGTACTTCTCTATGCCCTCATAACTCCCTTTTGAACGATAATAGATATTCTGTGCCATTGTATGTTAGAAATATGTGAATTTGTTGTTTTATTTTCCAGAGGGTTACAGTTAAGAGTTTGACTTGAGACTCAGAAGAGACTTTTGACTTTTAAATAGTGTTGAACATGAAAGACTTTGGGGACCTTTGAAGTTGGATTAAATGCATTTTGCCTTGTGATATGGCCATGAGCCCAAGGGAGCCAGGCAGTGGACATTGGATTTAAACACAATGACCTATGACCTAAGTTTTGTTTCTGCATTTTGTCATGTTATTTTACACACAGTTGGATTTTTTTTTTAAGATTTATTTATTTATTATATATGAATACACTGTAGCTGTCTTCAGACACACCAGAAGAGGGCATCAGATCTCATTACAGATAGTTGTGAGCCACCATGTGGTTGCTGGGATTTGAACTCAGGACCTCTGCAAGTGCAGTCAGTGCTCTTAACCACTGAGCCATCTCTCCAGCCCCCAGATCTTTTTTTTTTTTTTTTTTTAAGCCTAATGCTTATTTGCTTCTTTTTATAGATAAAAACAAACAAAAACAGGGCTGTATTGAAAACAAGAATAAGCCTACTGGTTAATATCCAGATTTTATTAATTCTTTAATTACCTCTAAATTAACTGCAGTGAGCAAATACTCAGAATGCATTTGTGTTTTATTCTAGACATTTAGAATTTGGTAATAGAGTTAGCTTTGAAAAATACCTTTCCTGGTCATTTTTGTTTTATAATGGCTTATATAAAGTGCTTTATGCATCAAACATATGGTCAAAAAAGGTCACATGTATCACTCAGGCGCTCAATCCAAGAAAAACAAAACAAATTGAATGTATGTAGTGTCTATGCATGAGTAAGTTAATGTGTGATTAACTTACCTTCCTGCTTCCTTAGGATTATGTAGACGTGTATATACTCGTACAGACTACCCAGAGCCTAGTCCATTATGACATTATGTTCACAGTCCAGAGATGATCATCTAGTCCTGTGTCTCGCCCATCTGTGGTTTAGGTTCCTTGATTGCACTCTGCTAGTTCTGAAGTCCTGTGAAATGCTGACAGAATAATAAACTAGAGACAGGAGAAGTATAGTAGCTACTCCTAGTTACAAGAAGGGGTGGTGCTACCTAAATCTGAGCTATAATGTTGTTGGTCTGGAAAGCTCACTGCACTGTCTGGGAGTGGTTCCCATGACTTGTAACATTGTTGCTCTGCTGCCATCCTTTTCTCTTCCTAGGTAATGTTTATGTAGTTCAGTAATTTCCCTAGATCCTTTCCCATCATGGGTCTTCGTTTTAAACATTGTAGACCACCTATGTATCGAGTCGTAACTGTTCCATTGGATAAAAGCCACACTCGCATCAATCTCTTCTAGACAAGGTCTACATGCGTCTGAGGTTTGAGGGGCTCTTACAGTTACCTGAGATCCTGGTGTGGGCTGAGAGATGGCTCATAGTTAATAGTGGATACTGCTTCTGCAGAGTACCAAGTCTAGCACCCATATGGGGCTTCCAGCCCCAGCGGGATCAACAGCCTGTGCAGGCAACTGCACTGCAAATGCACAGACCCAGCCCTTCATAGTCATAATTTCTTCAGAAGTCTTGTGTTTATTAGAAACTCCATGAACTGATCTGTGCTCTTAGTGTGTTTCTTATTTTTATGACTTACAGGTCACGCAAGACTTGGCAAGGAAATGTTTTTCTATTAGATACTTTTAGAAAACCAAGTTTCACCAAAAATGATTCCATTTATGACATTTCTCTGTATCCATATCTACATAGATTGTTGAAAGAAACCATTTGGGAGGCTAGAGAGATGGCTCATCAATTGAAGGCACTGGCTGCCCTTAGAGGGGACCCAGGTTCAATCCCCAGCACCTTCATGACATCTCACAGTTATCTGGAACTCCAGTTCCAGGTGATCTGACACTTTTACATATTCACATCCAAGGAGGCAACACACCAATGCACATAAAATAAAAATAAATTATTTTAGGAAAGAAAAACCCATTTGCTACTTTGAACCTCCTGCCCAGTCTGATACTGTGGTTGTATTTTCTGTTTGCTGTATTGCCTTCAGTGAGTGTTACCACACTTGTTCAGTCACTTTGTCCATTGTCCAAACCGTTTTCTCTGTCCTCTGGCCTTCACAAGCAGCCCATGGCTGCTGTCTTCTGCCTGTCATGAGATAGGAAAGGCCATGTAAGTCTTCTTCCTTTTGTACCAGTTCTGGTTTGGTTATCTGTTTCTGTGTAACCCTACCTTATGAGTTAGTGATTCAAAAACTTACCTTCACAGCTCTGTGACTTATCAGAGCTAATGTTATAAATGTTCACACAAGATAAAAGGGAGTGAGAACTCGACAGCTGAGTTGGAGAAAAGAACAGACACTGTTTTCTGAGTCCGTGTAGATAGGAAATGATTTCACAGTTCTCTCTCAAGTAGTAAGCTGGGTTCTGCGCACAGTGTAATTCTTCAATTACAGTTAGACAGAGTCGGTGGCATCTAGCATGCAGGAATGTTTCATGTAACCACAGGAATGAGCACTAGGGTAGCAGAGGGGAGGATCCTGTTCAGGCCCCAGCTTTGCTCTAAGTGACTTGTTCATTGAGGAATTCACCTCTTGACTTCCAGGGATGACTCTGCGCTTTGGCTGCTTAGTTGAGAGAGGTGTGTCCTCCTCCCCTTCTGTGTGCGTAACTAAAATTCACCACTTACATTTAAGAGGAGCTGGAGCTGGTATCCAGCCCTAAATAGGACATCCTTCCCACCAAAGGCTCAGGGAACATGTCAGAGGAGGGGCATCTCAGACTAGGGGGGCAAAGAATGTGAGAGATGCAGGAAGGAGGGGAGCGGAGTGCTGTGGAATGCTGCCTTTGGGCTGTGTCATGGCCCCTGCAGCCGTGGACTCATTGTAGCTGTGATTATATACACAAGACAACAGAGTCAGTGAGATCAGTCATCATCTCTGCAGAGAGGACTCGTGAGTATTAACAAAGAAACTCAAGTGGGAGAAAGGCTCATGGGGTGCTTCTGAGGAGTTGGAGTACACATCATCAGGATGCATTGTTTATATCTGTGCGGTTGGCAAAGAGTAAAAGATGCTTTCTTTAAAGACAGAAGAAGAAACAAAAAGTTGGGCGTGAAAGGGTAGGTGAGTAGTGAAGAATACTTGCTGCTCTTTTTTTGCAAAGGATCCAGGTTCAAGTCTCAGCACCCACGAGATAGCACACAGCTGTCTGGAACTCCAGTTCCAGGGGATCTGATGCCTTCTTCTGACTTGCCATAGGCATACACATAGTCCACAGACATATATGCAAGTAAAATATTTATTAAATAAATCTAAAAAAAGTTTTTAGTAGCTCAAACAGGACTATTCTTAATCCAGGGTACTTTAGTGGTTTCTTTCTTGTAACTTAGTTGACCAAGGTTGTAGTGTAAAAGAAAATCTGTGACAGTCACTGTCTGTGTTAGAGTCCAAGAATCACCAAAGAATGATAACCCAGACTCAAATAGTATGCAAAAGCAAGGAGCATTTTTTCAGCAGAACTTCCTGCATGCAGGGGTCTCCTCATTCAGGAATAGAGACACCTAGTGGGCTCACAGGCCCAACTTTTATTGTCAGGGGAATTCCAGGGACGGGTATGTGCCCTTTTACCTTGATTGGTTAGCTCTATCTCTAGGGGTCTGACTGATTCTACAATTGGTTAGGGCCCTGGAAACTTTCCAGGGTAGTTACTTACTCATTCTAGCTACCTAATCTTGCTTTAGGCCAAATGACAAGGTGTCCTCAGATTGGCTGCCCGTGGCTGTGGCTGGCTAACCACAGGTTCCTGGATCCGGGTTCTCATTTCTGGGAAATACAAACTTAGGCCTAGTCTCCCAATTTGTCAGTTTGCAGCCTGCCATGGAGTGAGTCAGCCTGGCTCTGGCTAACTCAGTCCTCTCACCTGGAAACCCTGCCCATCCATAGTGTGGCAGTGGAATTGCTTTAACTCCCTTTTTAAAGAAGGTAGAAGCCAGGTCTGGTGCTATTAGCTTGTAATACCAGCACTTGGTAGACTGAGGCAGGAAGATTGTGTGTTTAAAGCCAGTCTGGGCTACAGAATGAGTTCTAGAGCAGCCTGAGTAAGTTCCTGAGATCCTATCCCCAAACAGAACAAAACAGGGGTGGGGCTGGCTGTATGCCCTTGGTGTTAGAGTGCACTCCAGGCCTGGTCTGGGCTCCACCCATAATACTGAAGACGAGGAAAAGAGAGCTGAGAACTTGCTCTTAACCATAACCATGTGAGTGAGCCATCCTGGCTGAAACTCTTCTCCCCACCCTGTGTGTGTGTGTGTGTGTGTGTGTGTGTGTGTGTGTGTGTGTGTGT